TTGATCCTACATCAAATTACACATTGTTGATAGCTACTCCGCGGCGCAGCCCTTGAGATACCCCCTCCCACCATCATTTTCTTCCCACCCACAGCTCCTATTTTATTCTCCAAGTCAGTACAGTATTTCCTGGAATACTATGCGGAATATTTTGAGAAAAGCGAAACTTCTTTCATTGCAGCCCTGTCGGTGTAGTGGTAAAAATGTGAAATGGTATAGGTTAAACGCCCCTATCAACACGCACCATTAGGCTAGTATGTTGAGGGTGATGATGCAAAAGGACAACAGTTACCAAATGGTAGACATTTGGAGTTGAGTGACATATTGATAACACAGAGGAACGAATCAGCTTCATGCTTAAAAGAAGTTCCCAGTGGAGCGAAAAATGATGTCTTCTTTATTGTCGACAACGAAAGGAATTCAAAAAGACATCTGGAAGGCAAACATTCACAGTACTGGGATGACAGAGGTGCATGGAACCCCAAGGGCGCTATGAATAAGACGTTTTTGCTTGAAAGTCACAATGTTATTCAGACTGTTTTCATGAGAGAAAACCTGTATTGCAGAAAAAAAAAAAAACCACCCACTAAAAAAGGACCGTTTATGAAAAATTGCACCCTCAGCCGAGCTCCTCTTTCATTTCAGTAATTCACAGGTACTACACGAGGCATTAATGCACTACAGAGTATAAAAAAGAGTGTCATCTTTATTTAAACGTTACAGTTGGCCTCAAGATAGCAGTTTATGAATACAAAGGGACCGGTCCTCAAGTAAGACCACACGGTCTGGACGAGTCCGCACGAGGTTGCCTACTACTTGTCTGCCTGTGGCAGACTGCCGCCCTCCTAACGGAGGCCAGCCAGAGGAATAGAGGGAGGAAGTCAGGGAGTAGCAGTAGAAACTGCAGAAAGAGTCAGGAGCCCCGAGGAGGGGGCAAAGGAGGTGAGGGGGTGGGGGCAGAAAGAGAAGACGAAAGCAGACGACAGAACATTGCCAGAGAGCAGGAAAGGAGGTGAAAGGATACAATTTTTGAAAAGAAAATGTTTCGGAAGGTACCCGGATTCGAACCCGGGACCTTTGAATGAAAGGCAAACATCTTAACCTCTAGGCCACGAGAGTCCCCATATATTTGTTCATTCGTTTTTGGGGTTTTTAAAAAAATCTATTTACTTATTACTCAGAGCGTGTCATTTGTTTCGATCAGACAACCCTACCTTCCCAACCACACCCCCCCCCCCAAAAAAAAAAGAACCAACTTAAGAATCACTTATTGCAAACTTAAGACACCTAACTTGTTGCTATTCATTCAGTGACAAAAAAGTATATTCAATTAAATATAATTTTATAAATTCCTTTCAAACTAGAAGGCCTCGGCGGTCTCCAGTCAATAGACTGGTTAAGGTCAGGTGTGAAAACCAAACTCCAGTAATATTTTTCAAAAACTAAAGGCCTGTTTCTTAGATTTATAAAAAGACTAATTATAAACGTGAGCCCAGGCCCACGTTGTATGCTATTATGACATTTGCGGTGTGTTTTTTCTCAAACCGGTAAATTAATATGTTATTTAAAAAAGGTTAATTAATTAATTAATTAATTTCTTTTTTTCTTTCTTTCTTTCTTTCTTATGCAGAGCTCACCATATGTTTCAGTCAGACGAATAAAACAAACTTCCGAAATAATGATTGTAAACTTCAGACAAAGGACTCTTTTCCTTTCATTAACGGAAAAACAACGCACATTTTATTTATTCAAAACATGTGTAGAAATTCTCCACTTTCAAACTAGAATGCCTAAGCGGACTCATAAAGGAAAAACAAACGAACAAAACAAGAAAACCAGAAACAAAGGCGGACCTAGACAAGCCAAGACTTACGTTCTCACCTCCTGAGCCTCTGAGACATTTTCAAAACACCGCAACAATGCCGTAACCACAGCCTGTCAACTTGAATCACTTCACGGCCAGCCAGCCAGGTACATAATAGACGCTGAGCTTTCTTTGATGCAAGCCGCTGCGGTTACAAGATACGCAGTTTACTCCCCTAGTCTGAGCATTTCACCAGGAGGCAAGACCTCAGTGGCTGTCACTAGGTGATAGGACAATAGACTAGTTAACGTCAGGTATGAACACCAACTCCAATAATATTTTTTATGGCATTAAGACCTATTTCCTAAAATGTCCAATAAACAAATGCAGGCCTTGACTTCAGTTCTCACCTCCAGAACCTGTAAGACGTTGTCAAAACACCACAACAATAGCATAATCACAGACTGAAAACTTGACTCCCCAGCCTGGAAGCCGAGTATATAAGGGACGTTAGTCAGCATGTGGTCACTTCAGTCTGGACGTTTGGAGGATATACATCGTTTGTCGAATCTACCAGTGATTCATACATCATTTGTGGGGTCTGTCAACGGAGTTACTTGCAACAAGGATGCCGTAGATCAACAAGACG